GGATTAGGATCATTTATGATTTTTTGGCTATTCCTGCGTCTTTTAAGCCGGAATAGTCACGTGTAACGGGCGCTTGCGCAATAACATTGTAAGGCCAGATCAGTCTGTCTTTAAATATTGCAACATGAAAAGAAGACTACTAGAGAATAGAGATAGTGAGTTAAACTACAACACAATGTGAGGAAGGCGGTTAAAGTTGGTAATGCTGGAGAACAGTCAAAGTTCCTAACAATCCCAAGGTACCAGAGAGGTATTAATTCACGAAACGAGCATAATGTTTTACTTCCGAACTTTTCAGGAATTCCAAATCGCCGTTCAAAGTGTACCTTCACTAGGTCATTCAGACGCTATCTAATTTTTTAATTGTAATGCATATATTTTTCTCCTATCGGCCCCATGTCCTTGAAATTCCTGATGAAGGCGTTCGTTATGATATATGCAAGATGGCAACCAAGAAAGACTGTGTATTATATGATTAGGTTGAAGAGATCCCATGAATGACAACGTCAAAGGGTTATTGGGACAGTGTTCGTCCCATAGTTAGTTTATTATGTGCATTTGGCATTTTCTACTTACTATACGCCCCTTGGGGTAAAAATCCATAAGGATCGCCATCAGGTTTTATTGTACTATGAATCACTACTTTTCTTTCATTTTCTTTTTTCCATTGATTTGTCTTGTCTTTATAGTCCTTGTAATTTCCTGGCCAAAGTCCGCCATTTGGATTGCTTCCAAAATTGCCGCCATTATTGGAGTGTCTGTCGTTTCCATGGGGATTATTAGGATCTGGAACCCACGGTTTTCCAGCATTACCATTATTCTTACTTGGGTCAAAGACTCCAACATTGCCGTCGTGTTTGTTATTGCCTCCGATACTGTCTGGGAGGTTGGAGTCGTAGCCGCTGCCATGGCGCCTATTATCATCTATTTCGTTATATGATCTATCATTTTTTCTATTTCCATATGGGTCATCTCTGCCATTGCCAGCACCATCCCTGCCATTCCCAGAGCCAGCTCTGTCATTGCCAGCGCCATCTTTGCCATTACCAGCGCCATCTATGTCATTGCCAGCGCCATCTCTGTCATTGCCAGCGCCATCTCTGCCATTACCAGCGCCATCTCTGCCATTGCCAGAGCCATATCTGTCATTGCCAGCGCCATCTCTGTCATTACCAGCGCCATCTCTGCCATTACTAGCGCCATCTCTGCCATTGCCAGAGCCATATCTGCCATTGCCAGAACCATCTCTGTTATTGTCAGACCCATCTCTGCCATTGCTGGCGACATTTCTGTCATTTCCACCTCTGTTATTACGATTTCTGTTTTTGCCTCTATTATGACGATTTCTGCTATTACCACCTCTGTTATTGTGATTTCTGTCATTTTCAGCGCTATTTCTGTCAATATCGTTCCTGTCATTACCAGCACTATCCCTATCATTATTAGCGCTATTTCTGTCATTATCTTTTCTATCGTTACCACTACCAGCATTATTCCTGTCATTGTCAGCACTGTTTCTGTCAATATCATTCCTGTCATTGTCAGCACTATTCCTGTCATTGCCAGCGCCATTTCTTTCATTACCATATCTATCCTTGTTATTTCTGTCAAAACCATTTCTGTCATAACCATTTTCATCATAGTCATATATGCTATTTTCGTTCTTTTTATTTCCATTTCTGTCAAAACCATTTTTGTCAAAGCCGTTTCTGTCGTAGCCATATTTGTCTAAGCCATTCTTGTCAAAACCATCTTTGTCATAACCATTTTTGTCGTAGCCATCTTTGTTAAAACCATTTTTATCATAACCGTCTTTGTCGTACCCTTCTTTATCATAACCGTATCTGTCATACCCACGTCTGTAGCCATCCTCGTCGTATCCATATACGTTCAGTCCATCTTTATCATATCCATTTCTGTTGTAACCATCTCTGCCAATACCATTTTTGTTATACCCATCATTGTCATATCCATTTCTATTGTAGCCATTACGGTCATAGCCATTCCTGCCATAACCATTACGGTCATAGCCATCTCTGTCATAACCATCTTTGTCATACCCATCGATATTATATCCATCTTCATCGTATCCGTTTCTGTCAAATCCCTCATCATCAAACCCATAATTGTTTCCAGTTTCATCGAGACCAATACGGAGGTCATCTTCATCGTCATCTATATCAATTACACCTGCTTTATTTCCACCAAATGGGTTCTCATTTCGTCCGTTTTCTTGACTTCTGCTGCCTGTTGAACCTAATTCATTCCCTCCCGCAAGTCCCCGACCACCAAAACCACCAGGACCAACTTCCTCTCGACCATTGGGGTTTCCAAACTCATCATCATCATCACTATTGTTGTTTCCATTGCTATCTGAAACACAAATGGAAAATTATATTTTTTTTATTTAGTTTTTTTATTTCAGAGAAGAAAAAGTATAGCTTAATGTGAAGATCGATCATGCGTATGGTGGTTCATGCCTCCGAAAAACTACAAGACAAATGAAAAAACTTTTCATTGGCATTGTATGGATCTTTCATGTGATAAGGGCCATTTAATATTTGTTGAACATTCACAAAATTTTCACGATTTTACTACGTGTATCGATCGTTGTGACATTATAGCCAGGAAGTCGGTGATAACAGGTGCACTTTTTCATACAATCTCATTACCAAGCATCAAAATATTATTTTTCATTTTGTTCGTGTCATTCTGGCATTACCTTTTGTTGTATCCATGAGGAACATATTAGACGTGAAAAGTTATTATGCGTTATTTTGCCATGGTTGCTACTAAAAATGTCTTAACTAATTCAAAAGAATCCACTTAGGATTGACGAAAGAATGGCCAATTTGAACAATCATACCACTAAGAGACCAGATCAAACCACAAGGGTAAATGTTTATCTATTTATGGCTAACTTACTCGCACTATCAGTATTTTCATTTCCGGGTCCCTCGCCAACTCTGCCACTATCATTTACGTCCCCATCTATCGTATTATCATTCTCAGTTGTACTTGGCGTTGGGGTTGGACGCTGTCTAAGCCTTACTTGACCCCTTGTGACTAGAAACAAACAGGTAACATGCTCTATAACTAATTTACTTTTTTCTTCATACATGTATATATTTTCTCCATAAAATGGATAATGTTACGAAAACTATAACAAAGATGGTATTTGGTCATGTCACGAAATTTATGAAAGGATTTAAGTTAACATCTCTGATACAGGTTTTTGATCTACGTGTATATTAACTATGTATTCATCAATTTTATCGGCTTCATGTTGGCTTGTGCCATATAACCCACACTGGCACTCATCTAAACAAAATAAAGCTGCGGTAAACCTCAAGCCACGATAGCGCCGTGGGAAGGTACAATTTCTAAAACCTAATTTTAATTTATTTGAGAGGTATTTCATTCGGAACAGGCTGGTACATTTAGACTTAACGGGGCATTGTACTCTTGGTAGTATATCTATGCGGGACCAAGTGTATATACTCACCATTACAGTTCATGATCATTTCTTTCATAGTGTCTAATGGAACAAAGTCATTTACTTGGAAGACAAACTTTTCACTAGGTTGACTCCCAATGCCATAGATTTCCCTAGCAGAGTAAAACTGTCCCAGACTGATTGAGAATACATATATCCCAAGTTTGTGGAGTTTATTCGCTTCTTTAATGGTGACTGCAGAGTCCTCAGACCGACCGTCTGTTAGGAAAAACACTACGTGTGGTACGGTGTCACGCGCACCGTGTTCTTTGGAAAACATTCGCTTCCTCACAAAGTCCAACGCATTGGCAGCGTTGGTGTCTCCACCTCGTTGCTGCACAGTGTCCAAATACACAAGAATATCAGCCTTTCGTGAAAAGCTATTCAAATGGAATAGGCGGTTAGCTTTGTTGGCGTATGTCATAACACCAACCTGGGTTTTGCCAACGCCTACATCTAACTTTTCAATGATGTCTCTTACATACTGTTTGCCACTGTTGAAGTCTTCTGGGTATATACTGGCGGATACGTCCAGAGCAAATACGATGTCGATACCATCTGCGGTCCCTGTGCCTCCACTTTCACATCCTGTAAAACATGATAGTAACATTCTCAAAGATTGTTTAAAATTAGTGTTAGCACTTTGTCATTAATGAATAAACACAAGGAGCACACGCGTCTCGAACTCGCAACCTCGTGGTTACGGCGCCTAGCCCTCTCGGCCAACTCGACAACCCTACTCTCAAACATTCTTCATTCTAATGATAATGGTGGAGCCGAAGCTTTATCGAGCAAGACGAAGCTTGGTACAAGCAGTTGACGAGGGTGCCATGTGAACTTGGGATTGTGAGTAAAAGAGTGGGGATCTTTATGCATTGGTTTCCCCTTATTTTTGTTATAAATTGTCGTGAATGGTTATATACCATAAGGGGCGCACAAACGCGATCGTATTGTGGCTCCCGATGAGGACTATGAGCCTGACAGTGACAAGGGTGTAGAACCGGCTGATCAGGTACAGAGCCTCTATGTCAGTTTTATTTGTTCACACTTTGAATATATAGCACTCACAGTGTAGCAGTTCAATCGCAGTTCAATCGAATAGTTACTTTATCATGTAAAAAGAACAAGCTGTACCTCAGAATCTGAAATAGATGAGTCAATTAATCTTGACTATTCTTCCCAATGTTTTCCAGTTAAAACCACCTGGTTACGTCAGATGGGATGAAGATGGGATAAGATAAATTGTGTCGGCCACCCTAACGGAATTCAGAGGAAATGTTTAGAATATTGATTCACTGTTGTATGCCATGGTCACGTTGTCTGCCATGTTAGATCAACCTTTTGATAATAACACATGTTGCATCCATGACATGAAAGAGCAGCGCGTGCCGGAGGTGGCACATGCATTAGAAAAGCATTTTTCAAGTAGAGTACTGTAGTATTATATCATTCGCAAGATATCTTTCGTCTCGAGGGTTATTGGCCTATACAACAGTATGCAATATCAGCACCATCCATTTATAGAAACAAACGTACAATGTACTACCTAGAGAGCGCTTCGATCTTTCCGATAACATTCTATCATTTCCCGCAGGAATTGGGTTATCTTCATGATTGTCACAAAGGAATCTTGATCGTCACTGGCTCTTTTGTGCAATACGATAGACGCACAGAGAGAACGCTTACTGTGTTTACCTGTTTTAATGTTTTTATCTGATTCTTGTCGTATTTCTTCCAATTGCAATGCCACTTAAGATAGCAGTTACGCAAGAAATCATACTGTTGATACACAATAAATGAAAACATCCCATTTAACAAAATCGCTATTAGTTCCCTGTGACCTAAAAGATTGTTTAGGTTTTTATAAAACATAATAGACGCGTTTAATGACTCTTAAAGTTTTCTAAACATATTTATTACACCACGTTATGTTTGTTAACTTGCGAAACACTACGCCCTTTTCTCACCCAAAACATTTAAGATTGAATCCTGAAGTTCCAGAGCACGCCATCGCGGTGTCTGTTAACGGACGCGTGTCAGATTCTTTTTTAGCTTGTGTCTGATCGATTTTTTTCTTTCATCTCACTCATTGAAGGTCACTGACAACGAAACACCATGCCTGACAGGGATCATTCCAAGGGACCCCGACCCATTAAGTATTGAATGACAGCTGCCACTTATATTTCAAAGTACCCACTTAGTATTTTTCGAAAGTGTTCTGAAAGACCTGATAAGCTAATCGTGGCGCTCCAATGAACAATCGCTGGGAATTACGAAATAAATGGAAAGCCTCCAAAGAAATAAATATTTTTAATCTAAGCTACTTCCCGTTTGTAGAAGCTAAACAGACTTTTTTTAAAGCTGTTAAGAAATATTTAATGTTAAGGTAAACAAGGTTGCTAATCGTTTTAATGTACCCTCCTGACACCAAACGCAGAGCCTGCTTGGGCTGGATACAAACAAGGATCTCTCTAAGAAGCAGAACCACGCTATTTGTACAAAACACTTAACTTTCTACTACGTAACAAAAATGAATCACAAATGATTTGTGACATTTTAAATTCTGAAAAAATATCCATCTGTAACATGAAACATTTGAATATTATTCTACAATTCTATCCACCGTGTGTAGTGTATACATCGCTAGTCTTTATGTTAGTCTTGTGGCAATGTTAAAATGGAGTATCCATTAACTCTGATGTTTCTCTTATGACAATGTCACAAAAGGAGTATCCATTACAAATACGTTGATGTCATTCTATATTGACAATGTTACAATTTAAACAATATTCATCACAAATGTTTTATGTTATTTTATTGACAATGTCACAAAAGCAGTATCCATAACAAATACTTTGTTGTTATTCTAATGGCAATGTCACAAAAGCAATATCCATTACAAATACTTTCAAATTGTTGTTATTGTAATGACAACGTCACAAAAGCAGTATCCATTATGTGGTGTTATTTTAATGGCAATGTCGCAGTATCCATTACAAAATATTGTGATGTTATTCTTATGACAATGTCACAAAAGAAGTCCCCATTACAAATTACAAATACTTTGTTGTTATTCTAATGACAATCTCACAAAAGCAGTATCCATTACAAATATTGTGATGTAATTCTGATGACTATGTCACAAAAGTAGTATCCATTACAAATATTGTGATCTTATTCTATTGACTATGTCCCAAAAGCAGTACCCATTACAAGTATTGTGATGTTATTCTAAGGCAATTTCACAAAAGCAGTATCCATTACAAATATTGTGATGTTATTCTAATGACGATGTCACAAAAGGAGTATACATTACAGATATTTTGATATTATTATTTTGACAATGTTACAAAAGCAATATCCATTACAACAACTTCAATGTCATTTTATTGACAATGTCACAGAGGCAGTATCTGTTACAAATACTTCAATGTTATTTGAATCGGTGTCAATGGCACAAACGTAATCTGAATTACACACAGGGGTATCCATTACAAATGATGTTATTCTATTGACATCGTCACAAAAGCAGTATCCACTACAAGTACTTTGATGTTGTTCTAATGACAATATCACAAAAGCAGTATCCATTACAAAATATTGTGATGTTATTCTAATGACAATTTTTCAAAAGCAGGATCCATTACAAATACTTTGTTGTTATTCTAATGACAACATCACAAAAGATGTATCCATTACAAATACTTTTATGTTATTCTATTGATAACGTCACAAAAGCAGTATCCATTACAAATATTGTGATGTTATTCTAATGACAACATCACAAAAGATGTATCCATTACAAATACTTTTATGTTATTCTATTGATAACATCACAAAAGATGTATCCATTACAAATACTTTTATGTTATTCTATTGATAACGTCACAAAAGCAGTATCAACTACAAATATTTTGATATTGTTCCAATGACAATGTCACAAAAGCAGTAGCCATTACAAATACTTTGATGTTATTTGTAATCAAAAAATAAATAGAAATAAAAAATCAGTAACAATGGCACAAACGTAATTTAAATTACACGCCTTAATATTACTCTATTGATAATTTTAAAAAAGGCGTACCCATTACAAATGATCCAACGTTACTCAAATGATGATGTCACTACTAAAAAAAGAGTTTCAAATGCAAATACTTGATACATAGGATACACATACATGCAGTCCCAGAAAAGAGCTGTCATGACAAAAAACACGTGTTCAAATGTTACCATATATTCTGCATTTATTTATTTTTATCTGTAAAAAATAAACAATACCAGGTGGACTTTATGTCCTGTCAACTTGTATTTCAATTTTTAAAGGATACAGACACACGATGTTCTAATAAAATAGCTCAGGATCAAGAATTAGATTATGATAGACCTCAAATGGTATTTATAGAATGATCAACAATTTGAAAGGTTATGTTGATGTTTTAGGGCAATGTACCCTGTGTTCAAAATAGAAGTTTTAAAAACCACAGAAATGTAATACACCGCAAATACGGCGAGTGAGCAATAACAGTCGATCATATTTCCAAGGTCAATGAACGAAAATATCTCAGTTTTTATTTTGGATAATGATCCTTTTGAATCACACATTGCAAAGACTATTGGGGGAAGTATAAACTACTTGCCAACTTTCGATAAAATCAGAGTTTTTTGTTCATTAGGCCTAACTGGTATTTTTCAAATTTTGATTATACGCAGATTTAGACTTTATCCTAATGACAGTGTCCTTGTAAATACTTTAAGTGTTACTCAAATTGCAATAATGGATGATCCATTATTCTAATGACAATATATATACTTGTAACAAAATAAGTATCCATTGTAAAATATTACAATGTTATGTTGTGTCACAAAAGGAGTATTCATTACAAATACTTCAAATTTTATTTATTTGATGGTTTCACTAAAAGGTATTCATTACAAATACTTCAGTTTTACTCTATTGATGTCAAAAAAGGAGTATTCATTTCAAACTAGAAAAAAGCAACTCAACGGAGTAGTTAATCCCACCGAACAAAATATGTCTTGATAAAAAGCAGCCATCTTGAAAATTCTTCTTGAACAGAGCTCCCTTGTCCCTAGATATCAGCATATACAATTTGAACCAAATCTGTACACTGGTATTTGAGTTATCAAAAAATATCTTCACGAAAATTGGCCGCCATTTTGAAATCAAGTGGCCATCTTGAAAATGTCTTCTTCAGCAAAGCTCCTTTGTCCCCAGGCATCAACATATTTGTCCATCGTATATTGATTTGAGGGAAGAGTACATCAAAGGGTATTATTATACTCTACCATCACAACAAAAGTTTGTTAGTTTAATGTCCTCAGAAGGAATTAATGAATTAAGTAACTTAGCAACAGGACAACCGAACGGACGGAAGGACGGGCGGACAGATGGACGGACGGACGGCTTTCCTATATCCCCCTCGAATTTCGTCCGGTGGGATAATAACAAGGGTTCTCTAATGTCAATGTAATACTTTGAGTAGCCATTACAAATACTTCAAAGTAACTGAAATGTCAATTAATTAAAAAGGGTGTTCATCACAAATACTTCCAAGATTATTTTAATGACACTCTCAAAATGTCACGTACATTGCAATATATCTAAATTCTACTATAAAACAGATCGAATGATTTTAAGCGTTTCGAGTGACAATGAGCGAGGAAATCTGCCAGAAGTACATGTTATCTTATGGTTTACAAACTTGTACAAAGTCGTAGTTATGGGAGTTTCCAAAATAGATTGAATCATCTATTATGTCTCATTTATTGGCATAGCTAGCCATGCTTCTGTGTTTAACACCTAAATCCGATAACATAACATGATATTCTCCAGATTGCGGTTTAAAAGCAACATGTTAACATTGCATTAGAATGTAAAGATCCGATCTCGATCACGTGTGCAATATAATAGAAATTTACTCAAAAATACTAAAATATGAATGAAGAAAATCCAAGGCATAAAAAGGTCTATCAAGGGTATCTAAGTTACTTTCAACATGTTTTCTGTCCGTTTTCATGAGCTATAGGTCTAGCAGAATGTTAGAAAATGTTGCATATATCTTAAAATAAATTGTTTTGAATGTTAGACAAGGTTGTAAACATCGGAGATGTCACGGGGATCAAAGTAACAGGCCGGTTTCTGAAAGTAAAGATGCGAAAAAGATAATTTAATCATTTTTTAAAACTCGTAAACAAACAATAAAAATGTATCAAGTAGATAAATCTAAATCAAAATCACAACTTTAAAGGAGGTGTTGAATAAAACACTTTTTTTAATTTTGGGAATATGATTGGCTAGAGTAGAGACGTAGAAATAAATATTTCTTATACGTCTTTGAATAGAATGAAGTAGTTTAAATGAAGGCACGTTCAGTTGTAATTTTAGTTAAACCTATTAGTTGTATTTTAGGGCATCTGCCTTCACTGCATAACGATGTCAAAGGTATCTGCGATTAATGCCACACACTCGAATTCTAAGATTTGTATTTATGTATTCAATGCTGTATTTACGTATTTTTATTGCTTACATTATACAACATAACCACCTGGAGTTTATCTTTTAATCCACACTTTAAAACATTTAATGTCCCTTAATAAAAGGGGTCGAGGACATTCTTTCGAGACGATGGGGTTTCAGTGGTTTTGCACGCCGAGAGTTGTATTATTTCATTCAATTAGCTGCAAATGCCTACCGCTGTAAATGGAATGTCATTTATATGTTTATTGTATGTTTTTATTTTAGTATTTAGTAAATATCTACTTGGAGGGTCAAAACTGTTTTTTGAAATATCCACTTACATGGTCTTGGGTAGAGCTTTTTACAAATTAATAACATGTTTTGCAGTGAAATTATAGAAAAGAAAAATTCACACAATCAGCTCTCACAAAATAAAATACAATTTGTACCAATTTTGGGGTCATGTTTGCATAGTAATGCAAACGCCCAATAATTGTTTTGAATGACTACTATAATGATAATTTTCTCTTCGTATCTGCAGCCAAAAGTGATTCCATGAAAACTTCAACTCCATTCAAAAACTGAAACGAGAAGCTACAAAGATGTAAAAGATAATATGGTACAATCAAAGCATTCTTTTTTCTAAATCCCCTAAGTGGCTTCTATTTTTGTTTTTATGTAACGTATACTAGGAAATGATGTTCACCTATCCCTATAGTATACACAACAGAGTAGTCAAGAGTGCCTACAAGTGCCTTACACTTGATTTTGAATCTCATGATCCTCTGTTGAGGCAAGATCAATGGTGTAATGAAAAGCCATATCAGGTTTTGTTTTTAGTCTATGATACCGTTGCAATTAGTTTATTTGAACATATAGTGTTTCTATTTATATTTAGCTTATTTTATATATTTGGTGTATGTGCTATGTTGTTCTTTGTGCATGTTCTGTCAAGATTTCAAAGTTTATAATTTTAAGATAATTACGTTGTAAAATATATGTAAAATATGCATTAAGAATATTTGTTGCTACTGATTTCATGTTAATTAACTAAGTTTTTTAACTTACGTTTGACCCAACTGGTATGGCGAGCGTCGTCAATTTGTTCTTGGATAGTCCTCGCGCATACCATTGATATAAAGTCTCCAGCCAGTATGCATAAAATCAAACTGTAAAAATGATACCATGTTCGCTTACTAGCCATTGTTTATACTATTTGCTCGTCTTCACATTTTGTGATTTATACAAATACAATCCGTAACCGTACTCGATGAAATGTGTAGCTCCGAGCCTGCAATTCTATCCACCCACTGATGTATTACATATTTTACGGTCTCTAGGTTTCAATTCATAAATTATAATTATGATAAGGTTGTAGTGGATTCCCTCCTGTTTTGACTTGATCCAGTGGAATTAAAAAGATGTATCACAATTCCTAAGCGCCAGCGTTATTTCTGGAGATTTCCCCCAAATTATGAGCACGCTTTAACTGACGGAAACATTTATCAAATTTGCGATGAAAACATCGTGACACGAACTTGCTTTATGGAACATCTCCTTTTAATTCTGTTGCAATTTTGTCTTCAATAAGTGTCGTATATTATCATATGCTTAAGCAATTATATTCATTAAATCACATTAATAACCTTTCTAATGTTTACGATTTTACGATAGACTGGCTTGAGGTATAAGAGCACAACCTTATAACAGAAAGTCAAAATAGGAACCGCCAAATTGCTAGTTTGTGATAGTATATCAAAGAACCAAAAAGATTGCGATATCCTAGTTACGATTTTGCCCTTGGATACTTTGAATATAGACACTGTTTGAAAATATTTCAGGGTGGTCAAAATTACTTTTTACTGTCAGATCTTTGGCGTTGGAATGCTCACAATTTCTTTGGGTTAAAACATGTGACATGTCCGACTTGTTTCAAATTAACACGCGATTCAGCATACGTGGCGTTCAAAGTAAGATCAGCAGGTTTAGAGTTAACGCCATCGACCGTGATTGTGATATTTTTCTGCGTTCAAATGTGTTCTAATGTATAGTAGCTCTGAACTCTGCAAACTAATTCCAAAATAAATACCACTTCACCTTTGGACATAAGTAACTATTTCTGTAATATTCAAAATTACACTATGGATTTATTCCAAAAAGTTGATCCGTTCCTGATAGGAATCACAATTTTTTTTCGATTTTCAATAAGACCATCTGATTCTTTAATAGAATCGTGGTTACCAAGAATCGAAATTTTAATTGCTAAATCTGATCGCTGAATTGAACGGAAGGGAGTTCTTGTAAAAATTGAGATATGATACATGTTCCTTTTTTCTCGGATACCATTCAGATATCACACGATTTAATCAAACTTAATGACATTGTCATTTTAACCTCATCCTCTTAAAAGTGTTTAGTTGATTGTGGGATGTTTTTGAGTTTTGGTACGTCAGATGTAGGTCAAGAAGGTCGATATAACACTGATTAGAAGTTCAACAACCAATGTTGTTTATCAAATAAATGGCCACTTTTTTTCCTGCTTCTGCAACTACAAAAGCTTCTACCCTAATTTACTATTTTGGCAATGCGGAGAAAGAGAATTAAATATACTGGTAGAAATGTGATGAGGCTATTGCAAATCAAGTGAGTTGACTGCCAACAGAAATAGGTCACGTTGACCTATTTTTGGTCGAATTTCTATCTTTAGGAGAGTCCGAAATTCACCTGACCTACATTTTGATCTTGTGTGTCAGGGTGAATTAGGTAATTTTCCTTTGAAACGATGGCCTTTGCTATATATGTAATATTAGCTCGTGGGTTTAAAGAAACTTGTCCGCACCTAATTCTTTTAGAAACCAGAGGGGCGATAAAAGTGCAAGTTACAAATTAAAGTACCTTGTTAAGGTTTCCATAACAAAGTATGAGTGCACTACAAGTAGCCCAACTCTACATAAAACCCAATGTACAATTTTAAGACCAGTTCACGAACTCATTTTGTCAGTTATTACATTAAGTGATTTGATCGGAACGATATTTCAGTTTGTAATTACTATTTTCCTCGTTTTAAAATAACCGCTCAAAGCAAAGATGCCATGAATATTATCTAAATGTCCATTTTATCACCTCCTATCAGATGAATGAGAGAGTTAGCATATTCTTACAGTTTCGTCATCATTTTCAAATTGTTCACTTTAACTAATGTGCTTTGTTTTACCAGTTAACGTCATAGGACAAGATAACCTTTTTCCCTTGTAAATCTTTTATTATCAATTGCGCTAAAAATACTGGATACATCCTTGTGAGTTATAGTTCCATTGTGGTCGCTTTCAACTAATCTGAGATTATCCCTATAACTGTATAACGTTTTGTACTCGCGAGTGTCGTTATCATTCCTTGGAGCTATAATATAAGCCATATATAGGACACACAAAGCTTACGTTGTCAAAAAGTTACATATTTCATTACATTGCTCAATATTTATAGTTAAGATGTAAGTGTGTGTCATGTCCCCCTCTATATTAGCTTGATATATAGATGTAAGTGTCTATCAAAATAAATGTATTGGGAGGTTACGAGCAAACAGAAATGTTGACTTCAAATCTCCCTATTTTTCGTTGTATAAAACACTTCCAAACAAATTAAACGAGACATCCTTGGTCGTTATAACTAACAGAGCAAATCATGATCTATTAAAGTGTCACTTTCATTTCGAAGATAATTAATTAATAACAATTTTTCTTATATTTGCAACTTTGCTCTAAAGAGATGTCCGTGTATTTTACACCAGGTAACTTAAAACTGAAAAATAGGCACAGAACTGTTAGTATTAGTTTAGTGTTTTCTTAACATACTGTGATGATATTTCTCAATAAATCAAAGTCACTCTTTTGACGTTCTTCCGCCTTTATTTTTGCTTTTTTCTTCAAGTTGCACTTTTGCACATATGTGAGGTTGGTGGATCTTTCATCTTTCACATCATTGTCTGATCTTCATCTATTTTTCATGTTAAAATAGCATCATTGATGAAGATGTTGAAAACACACTTCGTGAAAATTGTGTAAACAACAAGGTATGGCACATTTGTTGAAACAGCGAGACAACGAGGTATGGCACGCTTGTTGAAATAGCTAAACATGACATGGCACACTCGTTGAAATGACTAGACAGAGGCATGGCACCCTTTATCAAATAGCTAGTCAACGATGCATGGCATACTTGTTGAAATGGCAAGACAACGAGGCATGGCACCCTTGGACAAATAGCTTAACAACTTGGCATGGCACACTTGAAATAGCTCAGGCGCATGGCACACTTGTTGAAAAAGCTAGTCAACAATTAAGGCATGGTACACTTGATGAAACTGCTAGAAAACGAGGCTTGGAATACCTAGTGTTAAAATATATAACTAAACAGCGAGGCGTGGAACACCCGTTGAAATAGCTAGACAATGAGGTGTGGCACACTTCTCGAAATAGCTAAACGGCGAGGCATGGCCATGGCTTGTCGAAATAGCTGGACAATGAGGTGTGGCACACTTCTCGAAATAGCTAAACGGCGAGGCATGGCTTGTCGAAATAGCTAGACAATGAGGTGCGGCACACTTCTCGAAATAGCTAAATGGCGAGGCATGGCTTGTCGAAATAGCTAGACAATGAGATGTGGCACACTTCTCGAAATAACTAGACAATGGGGCATGGCGCACTCGTTGATATGGTGCACTTGCTGAAATAGCTAGACAACGAGTTGCTGCACACATGTTTAGATAGCTAGAAGACATACTAGCTGTAAAATTGTAAGTGAAGAGACAACCCGATTCTTTGACCTGAAAGCAGTTCAGCAATGTAAAGCCGGAACTCGTTACAAAATTCAAGAACGCGATATGTCATTTTTATTTCGTTTTGGTCTTGTTTATTGGCTTACTGCGTTGCTTCAGTAGTCACAGAAGTATAGACTGCAGACTTTGTTTTATAGACTCTATAAAGAACTGGGAAAAGCAATTGCATCTCACGGGCGACTTTTAATTGAACCTGACGTTAAGCAATGTTTATATGAATAAATCAAGAAAAAGCGTCCAAATGGCAGTGATCTTGAAATGAAATACCAACATGATATCTGTTTCCGATGCAGGCTTGAAGTAATTGATAAATAGCTACAGCGCAATGTTCATGTCACTGTGAACCTGGGAAACGTTTTTGATACGATGAAAATAAACACGTTTTAGTATTTACCGAAACACGGAGCATACTTTTCAAAATTATTTTTTGAAATTGGCATACTTTGTTCTTTATGGTTTGATTGTGACCTTGATGATACTTCTTGTAAAAAGTCAAAGGTGTTAAAATTCGAGCCTTAGGCGAAATACGCTGTTACATATCTTTTGCCACAATTTTGCCTCCAGGTGAGATAAAAAATAAAACATTTCATTAATCATAATAAACTATTCAATAGGGCTGTTTCCAATATGTTCAACTGGGTTTATGGATGGTAATAAAGCTAGCCTTGACGAGTATATAATTAAATCATTTTTTGTGTGATAAACGTCAGTGAATATGAGTCAAGTCATATATTTCTGAGTGAGATTGAATTTCAAAAACCAAATCCCACTATTTGGAAAGGATTATACTCTATGAATATGTGATTGGTAATACATATACATAGACTTTTTGACGACATTTTTATGATAGTATGCCAGGCTAAAAAATTGTGGATTCAATCTAAAGATCACAATATTTTGCTATCTGCGTGACGCGGATTTGTTTTGGAAACATGTGCTTGGGGTTGAGATGAAAACAAATAAACATCCTTAAATGTATTGATCTACGATGATGAATGGAATAATGACATGTACTATTCATATTTAAATGAGTTGCCCATATAATAGTAAGTTAAAAAGTTGCATTCGCGAATACAAGCTTAGTTAAATGTAGAGCATTGACTCTGTGGTCGCATTCAGGTTAATGAACTACATCGGCATTAACTGAAAGTTCTTGAACGATTTAATGATTTTGTCGGCTTTCCGATTGATCCTGCCATCTATGTCAATTTGGTCCCCATCTACAATCTCATTGACATTTTACGCACACGTTTACGAAAAGAACCCAGGAAGGCATCGGTTGTACGTCATCTTTTAGT